ACACTATACATTATATCTGGACTGTCAACATATAAAATGACCAATAAATTCTTTTGCCATTTCCAGTTTTGTTTTGTTTATTTCGTTAAAAAAGTAAATTTCTTCTGAAATCAATATCCTTGGGATGAAATGATTTAGTGTGGTATGATTTTGGACACTGAGTTGAAAGCTGTCTGGGTTGGAGGGAGGTTGGTCCTGAGGTCCATGAGAGGGAACAGAGGGCTAGGGCCTGACTCATCGATGTGAGAGTGGGCTTCTGGAGTCAGTGCTGAGGTGGCCTAGGCACAGGAACTTGTGGCAGCAGCTGGAGCATCACATGGCACCTCATAGGCAGCTGTCAAGACCAGTTCCTCCTCAACTGAATGAAGCACGCCATGCTTCCTTCTCTGAACGGGTGTTTCATGTCAAGGCCCTTAGAAGCAGTAGATGGCTGCCATGCCAGAATTGTGCCCACACAGCCCTCTCTGCTTCTACCTCTCACAACCATCGGGCTGTATAGGAGACAACCAGGGTGGTTTCCCAAGATGATTGTTTTCATCTTTCATGAATCAGTGTTCTATTTCAACTGGCATTGGAGCATTCTTGAGATAGCATCAACAACTGAACGTAGGAAACCAGGCACATATTTGCCCTCTCATCTATGTTCAGGGCACCAAATTCTTAGATCCAATGAGACCAGCAAATTCAGCTTGTGCGTTAGAGAACAAGAGAAAAATTCTTAGATCCAGTGAGACCAGCAAGTTCAGCCTATGTCTTAAGAGAACAAGAGAAAAATAACTAGCACTTCACCCATTCTCTGGATCACACGGTCTTTCTGTTCCTTCTTTTACATGACTCCCTGAATCTTGGAAGGTGTAAGGTAAACATCCCTTGTCTTGCTTTGCATTTTATTATAGTCACTTATTTTCAGCACTTGGACAGGTTATGAGTCTTTGCAATCACTGCTGCACGCTGCAAAATATGAAACTTCTCTGACCACAGCTGACAGCACCATACACATCAACAGACACATCATGTCGGATTGATTCCTAGATTTTCTGTGAATATGTCATATACATGTATGTATGCACACGCATGTGCCTGTGGAGGCTCAAGGCTGAATCAGATGTCTTTCTTGATCACTCTAGTTTATCGAGGCAGGATCCCTCACTGAGCCCTGAGCTCACAGATTCCAGCTGGTGAGCCAGCCTTCTCTGGGAAAGAATCCTGTCCCAGCCTCCCCACTGCTGGGATTGCAAGCAGTAATCTCCTTTTCATGGGTTTCACATGGGTCGAGCTCTGATCCTCTTGCTTACACTGCAAGTGGTTTACCCTGAACCATCTTCCTGTCCTCATCTCTAGATTTCTTTCTAAAATGCAGCAAACCCATATTAATCACCGTCTCAGGGCAGCTTTGCATGCCTGATTGACCACATCTGAGCGGCAGTCCTGGGTTCTATAAGAAAGCAGGCTGAGCAAGCCATGAGGAGCAAGCCAATAAGTAGCACCCCTCCATGGCCTCTGCTTCACCCCTGTCTCCAGGTTTCTGCCCTAGCTTTCCCTGTGATGGACATGTAAGCTGAAATAAGCATTTTCCTCCCATTGCCTCTGTCTAAAACACTGTATTCTGAAGTTTCCAAGCCCTCGGGTGGTCAGGTCTTAATCTATGACTTCCTTTTCCCTCCCTTCACCTAAACTGTGTGCCTAGGGGTCTTTTAGAGAGCTGTTGCCTCACCTGTGCTGTTTTTCAAAGTTCTCCACCTCGAGTAGAAACAACTGATTGGTTTTCTTTCTTCCCAGTGGGCAGGACTCCAGTTCTGATAGCTGACTGGTGCTCAGTAAAGGTTGTTGAATGAGTGCATGAAACGAGTGCTTGGCTGATAGTCGAAAGAATTGTCCATAAGTGCTCAGAGATACTGTAGTACTCTGTTTTCTTTACCTGGGCCCAGGTATGCTAACGTTAGCACAAAAGAGCCCAAGGCTAGAATCAAGCCTGGCCTTGTTGGAGATAATAGCTGTTTGCCATCAGACATGCATTACCTGTGACTGAGAAGCACTGTGTCTGAAGTCTGGAGTCCCCACAGTTGTGACTTAGCATTTTTCTTCTTGCAGGGGACGGACCTGGAGCTAAGTGGCCAACGCTGCGTTTATTTGCAGCTCAGTCCATAATTTGGTTCCCTTGTATCTTGATTATATGTGCATATACATATGTGTGATGTGTGTAGTATATGCACATTTATGTTTGTAGGCTCACATGCTTGTACATGTACTGAAGGAGGACATTAAATGTTCTACTCTACCACATTCTATCTTATCCACTTGAGAAAATGGGTTTCTTACTGACTAGACCGGTAGCCAGCAAGCTCTCCTGATTATCCTGTCCCCTCTGTCATGGTGCTGGGGTTTCAGGCAGTCATAAATGACTATGCCTGGCTTTTTACATGGGTTCTAGAGTTTGGAACTCAGGTCCTCATGCTAATGCAGCAAGAACTCTTACCCACTGAGCCATCTCCTCAGCCCTCAATTGATTTACTTTTAATGTACTTATATTACAGAGTGAAATTCACTCTTCAGATATGTGGTTCTATGGGCTTGGACCAGTGCATACGATCATGACTCCACCATAACTGTTGTAATATGGGATAATTCTATCATCCCTGTTTCTCTAGTTTTGCCCCTTTGTTGACAGTTCCTGTTTCAACCTCAAGCCTAGAAACCCCACATTTGTTTCTGTCCTTCTATGTTTGCACTTTTTTAATTGTTTGAAGACGTATAATATGTGACCTTTGTGATCTGGCTTCTTTCACTTAGCAGTATGCATATAATATTCATATGTTCTGTAAATCCATAGTTTGTTCCTATTGTTGTTTATTTATGACAGAATGTTTATCCACCCCTCAGATGATGTGTGGTGATTTGGGGTTGTCGACAGTTTGGGGCAGCTGTGAATGAAGCCTCTATAATGTTCACACACAAGCTTTTGTGTAAACATACTTTTTATTCCTCTTGGGCCTCTGTGAGAAGTGAGGCCACAGTGCCACTTGATGATTGTACAGTTAACTTTATAAGTAGCTGCCAAGCTGTTCCTTAAAGTAGTTGCATCGCTGTCTACGTCTGTCACAGCTTATGAAAGCTTAGTTGCTTTATACCTTTGCTGACACTCGGTACTACAAAATAAAATATTAACCTTTCTAAGCTGAGTACAGTAGACATACATATAATCTCAGAAGTTTGGAGCCTGAGGCAGTATGGTTATAGGGAGTTCAAGAGCAGCCACAGCTACATAGAAAACCCTGTCTCAAAAACTGAAGGAGTGGCTAACACCGATCCTAATGGAGTGTGGCAGCTCGTTTACACTGTGCAGTTTTCTCTGTATACTCCCAGATGGTGGCAGAGTTTAAATGTGACTTGCTGTTTGGCAAGTACACCATCCATGCTTATACTTAGATTGGGTTTCTTAAGGTGGAATTTTTACAACTTTAGAGCAAAAGAGCAGGGGACTTGCCTGTCCTTCCTAAACTCTTGGAGGAAAGTGTTAGATGCCATCATTCTCCAAGCTTAAATTTCAACACAATTTCTTACCCATTAGGTTAAACTCCTCATGTTAGAATGGCTGTTTGATCACAAAGCAAGAGCTACTAGTCTATGACTGAAGTGTGTGTGTGTGTGTGTGTGTGTGTGTGTGTGTGTGTGTGTGTGTGTGT